GAAACATATGGCAGTGGTAATCTTGTTAAATTATTTAAAAACAAAGGAAATGCTTAAGAATTGCGAAGCTAAATGACTAGAATGTGTTTTGACTCTGCTAATTTACAGGGGACGGGAGCAGCACGGAAAAGGGCGCGAGGCGGGAGATGGAGGTACGGGAAGCGGGAGAGCAGGGTACGGGAGGCGGCAGGTTCTGATCCCCCTGTCCCCCNCCCCCCCCCCCCCCCTAAGCTCACAGGAGCTAATGAAACATACATGTACCTTGTCTATTTTCACAATATATGACACCGGGTATATTTAAAATATGAAAAGGGGAAATGAAAAAATATGAATGGCACTGTGGTTAGCCCAGATAGCGCTAAGGTTAGCCTAAATATCACTTACTCAAGAGTGCTGAGCTCTTAATACAGTCGAACCTTGATTATCCGTACCTCGATTATCCGGATTTCTCGATTATCCAGACTTTGTCTTTAGTCCCAATTTTGCCATGAATATTTATTAATCATGATTAAGATTCGTAGCAATATTCTTTTTGAAACTATAGCATTGAAAAGGGCAGTCAAAAGAGAGTTTGTTTTGCTTTTAAAGAGCAAAAGCAGCGCTCGCACGCATCATAACTAATGAAGAACACTCAAATGAGTTCTGATTGGCTCAGAGTTGAGTGGTTCAAGATGTTCAGTAGACCATATTGTTTTCCAAACGATTTGTAAAAGTGTTCTTTCGTGATTAAATGTTGCTTTATTTAAACAGTTTTGTTCTTCATTAATATTCCTATTTTTGATTATCCGGACCCTCGATTATCCGGACTATTTCGTCTAGTCCCAACGAGTCCGGATAATCGAGGTTCGACTGTAACGATTACAGACACCCGTATCCCACATTGACTCTTACCTGTGGTGCCATAAATTTTCATCATTTTGTTATTTCATATTTTAAACACACCCTACGGCACCTGTTATTAGAGGTCACTACAACCTAACTTGTGTTAGCTATTTTGTTCAAATTTAACTTTACCCCAGTCATGCTGCTGTAGTTCAGAATCTGGCAGGAAGCCTACTATTGCCCTAGTTGTTGTACATGAGAAACTGTTGAAACTTGAATCAAGATTATCTAGTGGATATACACAGCAGCACAAAGATACAAATTTTATTTCTGAGTGGTAAAAACGGCAATATTTTAAGCATAAGCGCAGCAAGTGTGTGAAATATAGAATATAAAATTCACGTCTTGAGGCCAACGGTTGTTTACACAAACAACAGTGGAAAAGCATGAAATGACGTCATCAATATCTTCACCAGTGAAGATACATATGTTATTTGCCGGCTTAGGGTCGGTCCGTATAGTGAAAAACTGTGACCGAGGTCTTGAAAATGCTGCCCGAGGTCACAGTTTTTCACTATACGGACCGACCCTAAGCCGGCAAATAACATGTTTATTTTTTTTTCCTACAGTAAATTGGTTTTACAGATTACAAATGGGTTTGTTTACGCAACTCTTGTCACTGAATCGGCTTCCGCGCCGTCTACTAACGATTTGTTAAAAAAATCTCGGCAACGAGCGAGTAACTCAGATAGTAGACAAAGAAAGACGTATTAAAGAACAGATGTTTTACGAACTACTTTATGTTAGTTGCATTTATTTCACCAGTTAAGTTCTCCAAAATCGTTTTTACGGTGTGAAATTTCGTGCGAAGTTTGAAGTTTTACTACAAAAACAATTTCTGTCAGTGGTTGCTTTTAAAATCACTTGAAATCAGACTTTTCTACCGTAAATTGAACAGCAGAAAGCGAGGAAATTCCACAGAAATTCTCCTAAATACAGCAACGATCAGAGAGGTAAACTCGACTGAAATTGACTCAAATTTTATGGTGAGAGAAACACAGGATTACGCGCCATTACAGCGCCAAGCTACAAACAACCAAGCAAACTCTCACAACTTCAAAACGCTCAATTGAATTTACTTACAGTGACCTTCCTTGCCATTTTAAAGTGAACAGAGATAAACATGCGTTGACTAATCGTCGATGGACGTGTAAAAAAGGCAAAAGATTGACAACTACCGCCAACTTTAAGGAGCGAAATTTAGGCTGCGAAGAAAAAATCCGGCCCGTGGGCCGTATCGTAAAAAGCTGGAACGGTCACGTGCGTATGATTAGCCAATCAAATTCGAGGATTTAGGAATCCGGCCCGCTGAGATGCTTGAAAAAAAAACAAATGGAAAACATTGCACGTGGGTCCAGATGTATTTTCATATGAATTTTACGACTGGTGTATTTACCAGTTAAACAGTCGTGTCTATATAAGCTTGATAGTCTGATATTTCTGTTCAAAACAACGGTGCCGTGTCAGATATAAGAATTTGAATTTCCCGCGGTTGGGCGGTATGAAGAAAAAACAGGGTATCGCACCGGTATTATTTCAGTTCAAAAAAAAGCATGCTTACTTAGTCTATAACAAGTAAGAAAATATCAGTCAAATTGCTATCATAAACAGCAGCTTTTGTGCTAAAGCTTACCTTTGTTTATAGAAGTCTTGCATCAGCTGTAGTCTATGAGCGGCATCGAAGGTGGGCCCCTATTTCAGTGTTTTGCAGCAGCTGAAGCCATTTTACTTGCACCCAAATCCAAGTAGAAGAAGGAAAATTCGTTATAAAACTCAAATAATATCATTAAAGGCGTCTTAGTAGTGGCTTTGGCGTCAAAATACTTTCATTAAATCCGCTAGAAACCCCATTAAAGAAATAACCATTCCCAAGTCAGCGCTAATTCAGGCTAACCAAAGTGGTATTTAGGCTAACTGGAGTGCTGTTTAGGCTAACCAAAGTGATATTCAGGCTAACCGGAAAACAATTTGGTGTGGTGTAATTCCTGTCTTTAACTGCAAATGAAACATCTTGGATTATCTCTTTCGTTCCCAGTTTCTTTTGACCAGATGTTAGGCCGGCCGCGAACTTACGCGGGATCATTCACGGGATCAGATAACTTATGCACCCGTCCAGCGTCACGTTTCTCTGATTTTATTTTTCGCTCGGGTGGTGAATTTCTTAAAAAAAATGTATAGGATCACGTAGGATTCTGGATTCGAACGTTCCCACATTTCCAACGTTTTGTTTCAGGATTCGTGTTGTATGTAAAACGGCAAAAGGTATTGGGGGTGCAAAGGCCCCGGTTGTGGTGTCACGAGTTCCAGTGTTAGCAGGACCTGAGCATGAGACCGGGACGCGGGACGCGGGACGCGGGACGTGGGATACGGGATGGAATTGGAGATAAATAACATTAAAAATCTAATTGAACTTTTCCCTAATGGGGCTTTTCATGGTCAAAAGGAAAAAAAAACAGTGAAACATCTCATGCCGATTAATATTCTTTTTCTTTGGACATCGTAGAACATAGGAAACGTCAAGTTAAATGAATCTTGCTTTCCAACATGCCGATTAATGATCGTAACATGGTTGAATATCCCAACTGGTAGGAAGAAGGCAGACCAGTTGGCTATTTTCAAGCGTGGCCGAGGAGCTGATTTCGGGACTACCAGGAACAACACCAGCTAGTGCTCAGAATGGGACTTGAACCCACGACCTTCCAGTTTCAAGCACGGCGCTTTAATCACTCGGCCACACTGCCTCCAGATGAGCTTAGGAAATATGATTAGACGAAATGCCACATTCTAAATGATGAAATGAGTTTATTTCAATACGACGCTATCATCATCATCATCATCATCATCATCATCATCACCATCATTATCATCGTCGTCGTCGTCGTTGTCGTCATCATCATTACCATTATCATCGTCTTTACTAAAACACGATACCACAGTTATTGCAAGAAGAATCCAGAGTCTTCGAGTCTGAACTAAAATAGACTGACTATAAAATGTTTAAGCGAGCAACCAGAACGATGATCCTTCTAGTATACGTTGGATCAATAGTGATCTAATCGGCTTCACACGTAAAATAAAGAATATAAAAGCAGAAACCGAGATAACGTGGGATGATTTTTTTTAGGTGTACTATATTTCGGCTGGCCAAACCAGCCTTCTTCGGGTACAATGAGAATTTTACATTGGGACGTGTTTTTATGTAGCATATTTTCGTAATACCGGAAATACGGAAAACTAATTTATGGAAATACGTAAACTAACTAATTGACAGTGTAAATGATGAGCATATGGTAAAATAAAATAGTGAAATAACATAACAAAAAGAAACAATTGATATGTTTCTCCGCGGATGTTCAGACCATCGAGATCGATTGTTCTGCTTTTTGAACTAAAAAAGCTTCCCTGGCCTTACGGATAGAGTCTCGGTTGGAAAGGATTTTTTCGATGGGGATTAATTGCATGTCGTTAGCAGTGTGGTATAGGAGAGGACAGGAAGTGTTCTGCGGCTGTAGTAGGTTTAGATTTGGTGTTAGGGTTATCTATGGTACCGCGGTGTTCATTAAATCGGTCTTTTAAACGTCGTTTCGTATCTCCTATGTATTGTGAATAACGGCGGTTACATTGAATCATGTAGATGAGGTTTTTAGTGTCACAGGTCAGGTTAGATTTTAAGGGGCGCGTTTCCCCGGTAGAAAAGAAGGTGTATGTAGTAAGTCCGTGAGAAATGTAGGGACACGTAGCACAGTTTTTGCCACAACGGAAAGAACCAGAAGGAAGTTGGGGATTGGCAGAGTTAGAAGAGAGTTTAGCTGTAACTAGTAAGTCACGAAGGTTGGAGGAGCGTCTGAAGGCTACAACGGGCAAATGCTGAAAAACGTTTTTGCAGCGGTTAGAAGAGAGCACCAAATTGTAATGTTTTTCGATGATGTTAGAGATGTGAGTGTTGCTGTTCGATTTCTATCAATTCCACCATTGGTCATGCTAGCATTTGGGCAGTACTATTATTTCTCAAATCAAATTATATATTATTTTTCGTCAATTAACCTTTTCTGTGAGGGACTCGCAGGGTATTAAAAGGTTAGCGTCAAATTAATTAAGGAGTTTCGCTGTAAATTATACCGCACTCGAAATTCAACTTTGTAGAGATTGTGTACAAACTTGAATTAACCAAATAAAGTTTCCATAATTTCAGGGAGCGATTTGGATCACTCTCCTAATCAATATGTTCCAAGCAGATCCTTCGATGTCGACTTAGTTGGGAAGCCTGCGTAAACGATTTGCCACACCGCTCACATAAGAATGGCTTCTCGCCTGTGTGCGTGCGCACGTGGTTATTTAAAGTTGTCGCTCCTGAGAACGATCGCAAACAGTAACCGCACTTAAATGGTTTCTCGCTGACGTGCACGATGGCGTGCATGCGCAGTTCTTTCGGTTGCGCAAACGATTCTTGGCAATGACCACATCTGTAAGGTTTACAGGGCATGCGCGAGCAGAGATGGTTGTTCAGGAGGGATCTCTGAGTGAAGGTCATTTTGCACTGGCCACACTGGAATTCGTCTCCTTCCCCAATGTTCTCCAGTACTTTATCGTATATCTTGCGGTAACCAGCACCTTCTTGAATTCCTGCGCTTGACTTTGTAACGTTGTGACTGAGTGGGTTGCTGTTACCGTTTTCTTGTTGCATTCTGAATCTCTTGATGGGTCTCAGTCCTTCTGAAGGCGAAGATTCGTCAAGAAGGCGCCTACAAGATTCTCGAGGAAGCAAACTGTAAACCGTTTGTGTAGAAGACTTTCTTTCCTCCACGCGGCTTGCTCTGGAAGTGCTATCAGCGTCAAATGGAATGTCGTGTTCACCCAGTGATTCTCGTTCGCGTGACAAACGAACGACAACAGGATGTTTCACACTTGATATCTTCCCTTTAGAAATAGAACAGAGGAAGGTTAATACTTCTCAACATAAAAACTATCCTCCTACGCAGAATTTCTTTGCGTTTGTCACGCAATCTTACTTGAGGAGAAGTGCATGACTAGCTATTAAAAAGTCTAAGTGAGAGGCTATTTAAAGACCGACATAAGACGGATTCAGGGGGCGTCAAGAGAAATCGAATTTGTCATATAAATATTGATAAAATACTGACATTGGTACTTATGCTGTGTTTATATAGATATTGATGAAATAGCTTGTTTCTAATATTTAGTTTCTTCGTCGCGCGCAGTGAAGATACTAGGGAGCTTAAGCAAACCACGACGACGACGGCAACGAGAACGTCACCAAACAAAAGGTTAAATGAGCAAAACAATAGCTGTGCACGTGCGTTATAAATCTGTGTATATTTCTTTGCCGTCCTCTGCAAAACAACCATGTGAAATGACCAAGTTCTGCGTCGTCTTCGGAACGTGGACGACGACGGCTAATTTTTCGTATTTTCATTTAGAATTGAAGGCCGTCGTTGCATATTTAGCTTAAGCATATTTTTAGAGCCGTTGGCGTACCGAACAGATCTAGACAGTCGCGAATTTCACTGGTAAAATATAAATTCCTCTTTGACTGGGCATCGTCCTGGGCGTCATCGTCGTTGCTTAAGCTCCCTACTACGCAGTGAGGGTAATGTGTCGTCATGGTTACGGACATGTATGATTATTCTTTCACATCACTGAAGTTGAATTTGACTTTTTAAACAGGTCAGTGTAAAGCGCAGACTGCAGATTGCAGCCCGGGGGTAAAAGCAGACTGAGGGTAAAATGGCGTAAGATGGGTAAAATGCAGACTGAGGGCAAAAAGCAGACTGAGGGTAATTTCTCGTGTTTGGATAGCGGACTGTCACCTTTCAGCAAATACCAATTCACAAACCTTTTGATATATTAAAGTCGAGTACAAAGATTGAATGCATTTCACAAACTAGGCTCGATACGTACAAGTTTAGCTTGCCCTGTTGTTGTGCTGTTGTGTTTTGCTTGCCTTGTGTTCCGAACAATTCCAAGCCTACTTGAAGCAACTATGACACGCGGTGGTTTGAACGTTATTTAGACTTTGTCGACAAGTAAACAAAGGTAAGATGCGTAGAATTACGATTAGTTCGGGCCCTTGTGGGAAACTTGGTTCAAGAACTCGAGGTTGATAATATAATGTTTGACTAAGGCTAGGAAACGCCTTTTGGTTTGAGTTTTCGGGATTTTGGACAAAAAAAATTACGGGTACGCGTACGAACACTCATTTGATCGGGATTTGATCCTCGTGTTTTTTATTATTAATATTTTATTTCACACTCAGTCTGCATTTTACCCCTGGTCTGCAGTCTGCAGTCTACGTTTTACACTGACCGCTTTTTAAACACAGAAAATAACGTTTTCTTAAGAAGCAAACGGACTTAATCTTGGCATTTTGTTAAACTGAATGGTTGTCGTTTATAAATTAAACATTTGCGATTACAGTCCCGACCTCAATTAAGGTGACCACTATTTTCAGTGTTTTTTAAATGAATAAAGAACTGAGATGTCTTAGATAAGGATACTTCATCAATATCCTGCGCTCACTCGTGAGAGATACCATCAGCACTCCAAGAAAAAATTCGTAGATTCCATGTTGCCGTGCGACTGTTTAGCAGTTTAAAATCACAGACGACGTCAAAATCAGTGGTAAGAACTAAAAAGTGGCAAACGTCTTCCGTGATCTATAATCATTGAACAGACGCACGGCTACATGGAATCTAGTTGCTTTATAACATAAAGAAACAAAAGAGGTTAATGACGTCATGTATGCGTATGTCCTCCAATTGATCATAAGTAACAACCAATCACAATACGAAAATAATTTGAGGTATTGTATAATTTATATAATACATCTTGAAATAATCAATATGGCTGAGAGATATAATCTCTGCGCGTGTATAAAAACGGACATTTTATGAACATTACGTATGCATCGGACATGACATAAACTAATCAATGAACCACAGTTGAACTATGAATTTAAAATATTCTTAGTATAATAAAATATCTTACCGGGTAAATGCTGTGAAAAATCCTTGACCCAGCCCCCCACGGGTATCCCCATGTGCTGCAGATAGTTGTCATCGTACCACACTAGTAGCTCTGTACCACGTGGTATGTCTCGGAATGCTCGATAGAAAATGCTCATGTCATGCTGGAATGCAAACAGGTTTTGCTCTTGTTTGTGTCGAGCGCAACGTATAAACCGCATCCAGCTTGAACAATTCTTATCACTTCCATCCAAACAATACACGAATTTACAATCCTCGTATATCTACAATAGAAAAACAACAGAGTTCCAATTTCATAGATATTCATGCTTGCACCAAAACCAAATTTCTTTAGTAGAATTCTTCTAGTATACTAATGCAATGCTGCAATCTGATTAGATGAGCTATTGTAGCATTAATTCATGTGCAATAGCTGGAGGTCGTCTACATAATGGAGACGTTTTCTAGTTTCCCCGATGTTCCGGAGGAAGATTTAGAAACAATACTGGATAACTCAATTTCGGAGACAGAGAAATGAAAGGAATTGGCCGTTATGCGTCTTCAAAATTGTTTAATAAACTGATTAGCGCGTGTAAACGGCTGCAAGCTTCGAACGAAAATCCAATACGCAAATGAGTTTCTAAGCCAATCACATTACTTATCTCCAGAGGCAGCATTATCTGGTGCTTAAGCCTCGCCGGCTAAAAGAGACCGGCGACTCTGGAGAAGGGAACGACTCGATAAAAACATGCACACGCTCTGAGCGTGAAGAAATCGATGACGTCAATGATCATACCTCCCACATGTATGACGTGTCCATATCAGATGTGACGTCATCAATAGAAACGTGCTTTCCTTCGTATGGACCAATCCATGTTCCCACCGGGATATGTTGTTTGGCGCAAACTCCATAACCAGCTCCAGGTATGCCTGATATACACAGTTTTACTTCATCCGGGAACGAAGCCACAGCATAGCTTAGCTTTGCGTTCGTTCTTGGGGACTTTCTAGAGCCGGTTTCTATGGTAACTGTCGTTTCTTCATTACCTTGCCTTGCAGTTGATATCTTGGGTTCCTGGTCTGTAAGATAACAGACAATACGTAATGGAAAATGAAATCGAATCTTAACTTCTTTTTATTTTATAACAAGCTATTTTTGAGCGCTTATTCAAAATAAAGACAACTGATAGCTTGCAGAGAATGGAAAGTAGTTCTAAGAGACTTGTTCTGAGTATGGCGTTTGTGAAAGTAAGTTGTTTAATGCTGTGTCAGTGCCGTGTTCTGCAAAATAATCTCTTTATTACGTAAGTTGCTTTTTTGCAAACGCTAGCTTTCAAAATCCAAACCTATTTGACTTCAGAAATAAAAGTTGTGGACGCTTCGTAGCATCTTGGGGCCAAAAAAAATCTTACAGTTTATTGCCGTTATAAGGGGCTTTGTTTATCAATGTTAATTTGCGAGATCCACACTTTGAAAATAAAATAATGCCTTTTTCAATTTTGAAAAACCATTAACAATACACCAAACAACCAATAAATGTTTGTACATTACAGATCAAATTTTGTGCATGTAGCACATTATTTCTCACCTGAGCAATCAACCCTGCTTTCATTGATGTTGCCGTAAACATGAACAATCTTAACAGGATTTCTGTCATACAGAACATGCTGCAGATCTTGAGCAGTAAACTGCTGTCGGTGAGATGAAGATGAGTTAACATCCGTTGATGATGAGGTGTCCTCCATCTGTAAAAACGAACAGATATATTCCCAAATTATTTTCGCGGATAAACCAGAAGTTTTAATTTTCAAAAAATATATTTTGCGTTTACTTGTCTTCCCTCGCCCGACCACAGGTCACCCAAGCGTAATATAAGAGTTTGTATGAAGAACTGTGGCTAAAATATAAGAGTTTGCATGGAGATCAGGAGTTGACATTAAATTCGTTCAATGTATGGGTAATTTACCAAATAAAGACTCTTGAACATTGAAGGTGTCACTTTTTCTCATCCTGGAGAGTTTAAACGATATTTGAGCGAATTTTGAAAAATTTGTCCTACGGTGTTATAATAAGAGACAAGGTAGGAAACTCTGGCCAGTTTGACGACAAACACTCTTCGGAAACGAGTCAAATTTGTACACAAAAATAGCATTTACTCACAATATTTCTCACTGAACTCACAATGTAAGGCCTTTAGTTTCTCTCTCTGCAATCCAATGAATCACACTTACGGGTGGAGGGCAAGAAATTTTTGATCTTACAAACTCCTACTGTAGCCAAAGAGTTTAGGATTACAGCAAAAGCAGCAAAAGAAAAACGGTTGCGTTGGAGTTTCATACCTCTGTATGCGTGAGTGAGTGTTATTCACGGTGATGACCGAAGATCGATTGACCAGCAGACTTGTGAAACAAAGTTTATAAGCTCAAAAATTTCTTGCCCTCCACCCGTGAGGTGATAATTGACCACGTTCCCAGTTTCGGCCGAGCGGCGACCACAGCAAACTAATCAACTTAGCGTCGTCAAGCATCAATTTCCGCTATTTTGGTTGTCATATTTCAAACTCTTGGCCAGCTAACACGGTGAAAACGGAATGTGTGATTCATTGGATTGCAGAGACAGAAACTACAGGCCTTACATTGCGAGTTCAGTGAGAAATATTGTGACTAAATGCAATTTTTTTGTGCAAATTTGACTCGTTTCCGAAGAGTATTTTGTCGTCAAACTGGCCAGAGTTTCCTACCTTGTCTCTTATTATAACGCCGTAGGACAAATTTTTCAAAATTCGCTCAAATCTCGTTTAAACTCTCCAGGATGAGAAAAAATGACACCATTCAATGTTCAAGAGTCTTCATTCGGTAAATTACCCATACATTGAACGAATTAAATGTCAACTCCTGATCTCCATACAAACTCATATTTTAGCCACCGTTCTCCACACAAACTCTTATATTACGCTTGGGTGACCTGTGGCCCGACCCCTTCCCCCACCAACTGCGTCTACACACAAGCGTGCGCGCGCCCAGGCAGGCAAGTACGCATGCCCTGGCTGTTGTGTCCGCCCTGACGCATCCATTTCAATTCCCAGCATTTCTTTCCCAGATTTTTTCATTTTTCGCGACTCACTTTATCTGTAAATATATATTCATTACACATTTTGTGTCACTTTGGTTACATAGCTTTACGTTCAGTGTCAAAATTTACATGTTCCTCACTCGTCTCTATATATCTCCATTGTTTTAACTAAGAGAATTTGAATTTAGATCACGAAAGCGTATTTTTTGCTGATAAATCTTATACCTCTCTGAGTATACCGATTTGTGTCGAATTTCCCTGCAATGTAACGGACCACGATTTAACTGATGACCCTATTGATATAAGACGGATTTAATTAGGTTTAACTTACAGGCTCAGAGTTGGCTAAAATGTTTACTGACAGCTCCGAAGCCGGAAATAACATGACGCGGCTTTTAACTGGCGAATAAGATCTCGGATCTGAAAACTTTACTGATACCTTAGAAATGAATTGAAATTTTGAACTGATAGCTGAGAAATTGCCTAAAATTTAACTGAGAACCGAGATTCCAGCACTCCACATCGAGACCCTTCTTATTACAGACCCTATTGTGCGTGACGGATGTCCGACATAACGGATCACGGATATGGTGAAGCAGAAACTCCGCTCTAGGCCTTTCCACAAATACATGGATATTTTTTTGGGAGATTTAAAAGTGAACGAGATATTTGAAAATATTAAGATATTTAGAAATTCAAGAGATATTTGCAAATAATATTTATAGCTTTTTTTTTGACTTAGCCCTGTGTTTTCCTCGCAATTTTCTGGAAACAAAACTGACTCAGTTCTACGCTTCAAACGATCCAGTTCAGCGACCTCCTACTTAAAAAACATATTACGTACAATCGAAACTCCGGTTGAGACCACCTCTCGTAAACGACCACCTCTCCTCGCATTGCGAAACACAAGGGTTTTTTCGAGATTCACGCGTAAATTTCACCGCGAGTTAATGGTAGTAAAT